GCGGCTTCCTCGCGAGGATTTCTTTTCACGGTTAGATTTGCAAAACCCAACGCGACGAAGAATTTACAGCTGATTCAGGGGCGCTTTATCCCCGTGACCCTCGACGTGCTACTCGACCGAGCGAATAAATCGTCAAAGCTCTTTTAAACACAAATCGATCCTTTCTGTTTTGAAGCCCTGCTTTTACGCAACTTCTGGCGGTATGTGATCTCGTTGTAATAATGACGAATGGACTTGCGGATGTTTCCTCTATTAAAATTTCATTTTATACTATTTTTATTTTCTCCTCTAAAATTGTAATATTAAATGCAACAAATTGTAACGATCAAATTATAATAAAATGTAAAGTATTTCCCAAATATTTTTCAATGCATCACAATTTATCTTTGAATACTATGATAATCGAGTGCAAATTTCTCGAAAATTATTCCCATGAAATTTTACACGCAAACGAAACCATTGATGTTTACGATTAATAGCACTTTATAAAATACTCCGCAAAATGCGTTTCCCGCGGTGAATGCACGCAAATTCGTATTCGTAGCGGATCTCGCGCGATCAAATGAGCTCCCCATGTAGATCATCCGACGGTAGAAAATCAGAGATACCACTGTTCATTTATGCAAACCGCTCATTACTCGATTAGTGAAATTATCATAGCCGATGCGACGGATAATGATGCAATGGGGAAAAACAAAATATTCCAGGTATAACAGACGGCAATTTATGAGCACTTATTTAATATACAATGGCAAATAGCAATCCATAGAATCATCTCGCTATTTATTGAATTTACCCGAAAGTCCGTGTAAATTGGAAATTATGCTATAAAATAATGTAATTGTCGAACAATTTCGAGAGATCGTGAACGCTAACATCATACAAGTGGAAAGGAAATTACATTAACGTGAGAAAAGTTACAAATAGATTGTTGTTTATATGTTTATGAGATCTTAAATTATAGCAATTTGAGTATTCCCATGCCGCATAGTTCATGCTGTGTATAAACAGCAGAGTTCTAGCGTAACTGCCTCACATAAATTAAACCAATCGAAAACATGAGTAT